CACACATACAAAACCAGATTATTCTCAGGAAATATCAAACACTTTAAATCAGATCCACATCTAAACAAAAAACTAGAAAGACTGGAAATGAGAAACTGGGAAGGCAGGCCTGGTGGCACATACTTGTATTCCCAGCACTCAGGAGGCCAAGGCAAAAGGAGTTTACCATGAGTTCCAGGCCAGCCAGTATCAAAAATAAATGAGGGGGAGAGGGGAAGGAGGGAGAAGAGAGGGAAGGGAAAGGAAGGAAAGCAGGGAAATGAGGATGTTTGGGAGCTCCACCATTTGAATCAATTTAATCCTCAAAACAACTCTAAGAAGGTAGGTAAGAGATGCCTAGACTATCTTTCCCATGTCCCTTACCTAGTCTAACCCACATTTTGTGTGAGACCTGATTGCATTACTAGCTCCAGGTATACTACCACAGTCAGAGCAGCTCTAACCCCTCAGCACAGTGAGGCAGATATGTAGCCTAGGCCTAAGCCCATCAGGGCAGAAATGACAAGCTCAAATGAAAAGCACCAATTTACCAGAACTGCCTAGCCTGTCCCCTAGGTGAAGCGACATGAAAAGGGACCTAAGAGCCACGCATGTGGAGTTTCCTGATGAGAAAAGAACGAAGCTGAGGGTCTGGCAATGAAGTGCTAGAACTCAGTTTGAAAATCAAGCACTCTAGTTTCGGAACAAAGAAACAGAAACCTTTAATTACTGCAAAATAATTCTTCTCAAAGCTCAACACACAAATACCATTAGGGAGGAATCTGAACTCGGGCCAAATACACCAGCTACAATTCAAAAGGGTAAGGTGTCACAATGAAGAACTGGACTTTGGAGAAAGGCACAAGTGAGCAGAAAGATCATTTAAACAGTGATTATCAAGACAGTCCTGCCAGAGATAGCAAGAACATTAGGAAATAGAAAAAACACAGAAAACTATGTCTTTTGAATAAAATGTAAATTATTTCCTACTAAAATTTAACTTTGTTCACTAAAATATATATTTAAAACAAAGAATAAAGCACACTTTTTACATGTAGTGCAATTACTGGATTCACACGTAGTGCAGTTTCACTGTAAAGTGTTTAAAGGAAGAAACACAAAGCAGAATCTTCTAGACATACCTTCTTTCTCAAATTATTTAAAATGACCTAAATAAATTACCATTTCAATTCTAGAAATGACTGCTGGGCATGGTGGCATAGGCCTGTAATCCCAGGAGGCTGAGGCAGGAGGATTGTGAGTTTGAGGCACTAGGTTAACCTATAAAGTTAGTTCAAGGCCAGTTTGGACTCCACAGCAAGACCTTTTCAAAAAAAAAAAATCAATTCTATAAATATTCTATGATATCTTTCAAACTCATCTCCAGCTCAGGAAACGTAATGAATCTCAGGGATGTCTATACAGTAGGGATCATCGTAAGACTAACAATGACAACAAGATAACAAGATGGTGGTTCCTGGTTCCTGGTCATCTTTTTAACTTTTTTTTTTTTTTTAACGCGTATGTGTGTATTGCCTGCATGTAAGTAAGTGCACCCATGTCATGCGATGCCCATGGAGGTCAGGAGAGGCTGTCGGATCCGCTGGGACTGCAGTTACGGACAGTTGTTAGCTGCCATGTTGGTGTTGGGATTCAAACCCGGGTCTTCTGCAAGAACAACCAGTGTTTTTAACCGCTGAGTGAGCCATCTCTCCAGCCCCCTGGTCATCTTTACTAATGAGGTAATCATGAAAACAATATAGAAAGGCATCTATGGCTTCTTTGTCAAAAGAATCTCCTAGCCTAGAGTCCTACTGGGGGGCTTACCATTGGGTCTTGTACAGTTACTCTAGAAATGTATCTTAGGGACAGGTGGCTGCCAATGTCTGTGAGCTTTTGCCTGATGGAACAATTTAAGCTGACTAGAACATATACAACCCCAAAATTTCAATCTACTCCAAACCTTGGGCTACATAAAAAGATGCTGGGCAGCACTTCAGGCAAATGTAAATTAAAACCACAATGAGAGCCTAAAATTTACACTTGAGGGGCAGAAGGAGGCGAACCTCTGTAAGATCTGTCAGATGGAGGCCAGCTGGGTCTACATACCAAGTTCCAGACCAGCAGGGAATACAGGGCCACCCTGTCTCAAAAAAAACACCAAAACAACACCACCACCACCAAAATGAGATAGCACTACACACCTTAGAATGGCCCCAGTCAATATACTAAAAAATGATTAATAACTGGCAAGATGGCTCAGAGGGTAAAGGTGCTTGCATTGCAAAGCCTGGTGACCTGAATTTGATTTCCAACACCCACATAAAGTAGGAGACCCAAGTCCACAAGGTTGTCCTCTAACCTCTACACATTTACCATGGCACAACTGTATAGACACACATAGACACACACACACACACACACACCCATGCAAGTGTGCACAAAGAGTAATAGAGCTTAAACTAATTTTTTTAAATTGGTTAAGATAGATGTTATGTTACATGTTTCTTACCACAATAAAAACTATATTCAATTTTTTAAAATAACTTAAAAGTACTAAAGAGATTATGTAGCAACTATAATCTTTATGTATCACGACTGGTTCGAGGCCAGCCTGGTCTACATAGTGAGTTCCAGGACAGCTGGGGCTACAGGGAGGCCCTGTCTCAAAAAAACAAAAATAAAACAACAACAAAAAAATTACTAGCTTTTTGTTGTTTGTTTGGTTTGGGGGTTTTTTTGGTCTTTTTGAGACAAGGTGTCCATGGAACCACAGCTGGCCTGGAACTGGCTAAGCAGACCAGGCTGGCCTAGATCTCAGAGAGATCTGCTTGCATCTGTCTCCTAAATCCTGGGATTAAAGGCATGCACCACCACACCCAACTGATGAGTGAATAAACCAACTGTGAGGCCTGGGGGTGGCTGAGCAGTGAGCGTGTGCTGGGCAAGCATGAGAAGCAGAGTTTGGATCCCCAGAAACCTACACAAATGCTGCAGTGGGGCAGCCCTCCGGAATCCCAGCCTCAGAAAGCAGAGCCAGGGGAGTCCCCAGAGAGGTTGGCTAACAAGATGTCTGAATTTGACTAAGAGGGCCTGCCTCAATGATAAGGCAGAAGATCAATTCAGGAGGAGTCCAAACATGCATGCACACACTCAAAAACAGGGAAAATAAAACAAAAACAAAGCAACCATGCACCTGCCATTCAGCAATTAAAGGATGGATAAAACTACTAAGAAAGGCAGCAACCAAGACACACCGCAAAAATCATTCTGGGAGAAAAGAAGCCAGACACATGACTATATGTAGAATAATGACATTTACATGAAATTCTTGAAAAGCCAAAACCATAATGACAAAAATCAGATTGATTTTTGTCTTAGGTGAGAAGGGGTTTAGGACTGAGGGCAAGGAGGGTTAGGAGTGAGCAAAGTGAAGGCTTAGGTTAATGGAACTGTCTACAAATTCAGTGATAATACAACTGTGTACATTCAACAAAACTCACAGGCCTGTGACCCCGAGTGTATTGATATTTTATTGTATAAATTATGACAAATTACAGCTCAGTGAAGTTTCTTAAACTAGGTTATAATTAGATCTCAAGCCCTTGAGTGTGGATTCACCAGTTTTCATTCTCTCATGTCCATGACTTCTCTTCTTGGCAACTACTCTTCTGAGGGACTGTAGCTACTGGGCTTCCACACTGGAAACAGGATCATGAAGTCATCTATACTACCTGCTCTATCTCACAAGGTTACTGTGAAACACCCAATGAGATAACTGATGAGAAAGTTCTCTGGCAACTCTAAGGTATTACACAACTGTACAGTACACTTAACATTTTTAAAGTAGAGTTTTTTCACGTTGATGACTTGAGATTCCAGTAATCTTGGGTACCCCAAGTCACTGCTCCGAAATAGAAACCGTTGCCTATTCAAATGTCATCTTTGAACTCTCCCCTGGGCCTGCTTCCCACTGTCTAGAGTTCCTGGGTGTCCTCCTCTATCTAGCATTGGCTGCACTTTCGTTTGTAAATGGAAAAAAACACTAAAGGCCAGACAACAGGGGCAAGACATTAACTTCCCAGCAGCGGGGAAAGGTCAGTTATCTAGAAAACTCTTTTCTTAAATGCTTTGCCTGTTTCCAAAATGGTCACAACTGCCCTTTTCCTTCTCTAATATGCGCTAAACAGCCTGCCATCTGGCATCTCAATTCTACACGTTTCCTTATGCGACCTGCATTACTGGCAGGAAGGACAGCTTCAAGAACATCACAATCTTTAAAACCCGCATAGTACATCCACCTCACACCTCGGCCTGTTGCACAACCTGACCGTTTCTGTCTCCCTCACTACTACTGTACCGCTTGGCTACACTCGTCTAAGTTCGAGTGATACTTGACATTTGGCCTACTCGTGTCTGCAAGTTTGCCTGCTGCGTTGTCTCCTTCGAATACAACTGCACCGCTAAATTTCACCTTCCATCCAGGTTTACAGCAAATCGGACGATGCTGAAAAGTTGCTGCAGCAGCAACAGGTGCTGCAACCCCACAACCACAGAGCCTGTCTCGCAGGAGAAGAACACGCACAGGGCTCCGTGCAGTGACAGGTGGACACGGAGCGGAGCTCGCCGGGATCCAGGCGCCGACCCTGCAGCTACCCCCCGTCCCCGCCCCCCC